TCCCACCCAGTCACATGGCTGGCAAGCCACTCCCACCCAGTCACATGGCCAGCAAGCCACTCCCACAAAGCAGGCCACACCTACAGAAGAGGTTCTAAAAAAATTGAAACCCACCACTGGTCCAGATGTACACATGAAAGCCCTTACCAACATCATAGACTGATAGAATACTATGGATGGAGCACTTCAATGTGGCTTTGCTCTCTATTCATACATAAACAGCCAAATTTGATATAGGAACATCTAATGTATTTACATGCTTGTGTGGATTTTAGTGGACATTGTATTCAGTATCCAAATATATTTGCCAGAAATATTAAATCAAGCAACAAATCACTGTAATTCAAAACATTTACAGGATCATTATAGACTGCAGAAAGAGCCAGACATAATATTTTCCCGAGTTCTTTCTCTTTTATATTTTGGTTCACAGAAATATACAGAACATATCCAGAGTTTCATAGAACTTTGTCAAAAAATGAAAAACAGACACATGAGCCTTCAGGAGCAACAGCCATTGGAAAAAGCTACCTCATCCTTTCTCTAGCAGCTTGGGGAAGGGGGCTATTTCAGATCTTCCAAACAGTTTTCTTCCCTGAGTGAAAAAGGTGTAACTCCCCAGATATTTTTGCGTTCATAGAGGAAAAACAGTGAAGAGGCAATTTGGAAGAAAAACCATTGGTAAAATAAAGGTTAAGTACTTCTTGCTCACCAGTGGATAGTCTCAGTCTCTAAAAGCAATATCTCGAAATATGAAAACACTATAACACTGAGTAATCAATGTATCATTGGCCATTCAGTCATTCAGCAAAAGATCCTATAATGGCACCCATCAATGGTGGGTTATGACCGGTATGCCCCGGTACAAGCGTATGGGTGCCTGCCGGGAGCACCAGGTACCATTCCAGTACAGTGCTCTGGAGGGCCAGCCTGCCCAAGCTCCTTACCGGTATTTGAGGTTTTTGGGGCTTACGCACACACACATGGAGCATATGGCACCTGCGCGACACTCCGCCGAGCAGCTGGAGCATTGCGGAGGCATCACGGAGCATTGTGGGCGGTAAGTACGAATGCGCGCACTGCGCATGTGTGCACATGCACTGTGTGCTTACAAGTGGTGGATGCCCGGCCTCCTTGCAACATACTGGTTGCATTGGGATCCGGAACCCACCACTGGCATCCATCTATCCACAATGACACGTTGCTGTCAGGAATGATGAATGGATACAGAAAATTGAAAGACCTTTGAGCAATGGCATAGCACTGACTTTGGCATGATAAAGGCATGTTCTTTTATTATAAAGAAGCAATATATATGCATCCATTTAATTCATAGAAATGCCTCTTCTTCCTGAATAGGTCCAGGATTCTGACAGGAACCACAATGATATTTTTAAATTGAAGTGTCAAAGTCTAATTGTGTTTATTTACACATATCTGACCTCTTTCCACTTTTTTATAATAGAGAAAAGACATTTGAAGCCCCAAATCCCATAAATCCATCTAATACAATGAAGAATTTGATGGTACAAACACATAAGCCCTCAACTGCCTGTTGTGACAGAGAACGATCTGTTTTCTAAAAACACATTTACCAATTCAGATGTCAGTAAATGAAGAGGGATGAAAGAGTGCTACTGAAACTTCATAGGAAGTAAATGTTAAGGTAAAAATACTGGGAAAGCTTTCTGGCTTGGAGACATTGGTGTGTTGTTTAAGTGGGCTCTCTATAATATTTCTTAATTTAAAATGTTGTTTACCACTTTGCCCATGCTCACAATAATAAGAACTTAAAATTGAACCACCAAAAAACATAGTATCCCAAAAGCAGCAAGAAGATGGATGACAAACTGAAGGCCTCTGAACTTCCAGAAAGTTGTTAGTGAGGAAGTGAAGTTCTAGAATTGTGATACGGAATTACCAAATATTTTCCAGTCCTATGTCGCCACATAGTCTTTTTTAACAAAAAGAACAATTTCATGTTGTGAGACTGATCAGCCTTCCCTAGAAGTCTATATTAGCCCCAAGGCTTTTTAAAAATATATATTTTAAAATTTAAATTTATGAAATTAAAAAAAAATCCTGCCTCACTAACAGAAAAAGATAAGCAGTGTGAAGTGTGAAGAAAGAAAATCTAGATATATTGCAGTGATTAAAATAAACTTAGCATGACCAGAAAAAAACATTAAAATATTTATTAATAATATGAGATAATGTTCATTTAATTTTATCCTTAAGCTTATTAAATCTAAATCATACAGCAATGTAGTACATCATCTTCTCATTTTTTAGAACACAACAGCTTTCCCCCCCAAAAAAGAAGTAACAAATTCATATCCTGCATCCATTCCTTAAAAGCAGGAGAGCATGTTTTTTTTTCAATTATGAAAAATCTTCTTCTTTCCTGTGCCCCAGACTCAGTAAAGAGAAAGATTTTGATAGGATAACAAATTCCATGTTTATGTGGAAAACATTTATATGGTCCAACTTGAGAGACCGCCTCCTGCCAATCACCTCCTTGCGACCAATAAGATCGCATAGATTAGGCCTCCTCCGAGTTCCATCTGNGCGATATGCTGACTCTGTAAACCGCTTAGAGAGGGCTGAAAGGCCTATGAAGCGGTATATAAATCTAACTGCTATTGCTATCTTCCTTACAGGATTAGCCCTGTAAAGTGGAAAAAAACAAAATGCGATTTCTTCCAACAACCGGTTCTCCCAACTGCTTAGAAAGTTAACAACCGGTTCTCCCAAATAGGTGCGGGCTGGCTGAATCCCACCACTGGGTCCATGGTGAAGAAAATGTTGAGAACCACTGCTGTGCTAGAGAATTCCTGGAAACTGACAAATTGATCATCAATAGACACACAGACCCAAACAACATCTACATACCAGGGGTGGGCTCCTGCCAGCATTACTACTGGTTTGGCGCTCGAAAGTTTTTGTGCGCATGCACTCTCTTCGCTCGTCCACAAGCCAGACGTGCACTTCGCACACATGCGCAGTTGCACCTAAAAAGGTCTGTGCAAGTATACAACATTTAAAAAGAAAAAAAATTACATTTTTTTTTAATGGAGATTGTTCGGCGCATGTGCAGAACAGAAAATAAAGATGGCACCGCCGAAGGTAGAACCGGTTCGGTCATGTGTCTGGCTGAGTTACTATCTATTCAGTCAAACCCAGTGGTGGGTTCCGGATCCTGTTCCAACTGGTATGGTTGGAAGGGGCCTGGCATTGTCCACATGGATGCGTGCAGTGTGTGCGCACATGTGCGCAGTGCACGCATGTGTCTTACCGCTTCTGCAAGCCTTTGTGATGCTGCAGCTGCTCAACGGAGCGTCACGCAGGTGCTGTATGTGCCATGCACATGCGCGGAAGCGCAGAAGCCTTAAAAGACAGATAAGGAACTTGGCTGGGCGGATGGGCCCTCTGGAGCATCATACCGGAACGGTATCCAGTGCTCCGGGCAGGCTCCGGTACGCCTGTACCAAGGCATACCGCCTGCAACCCACCATTGCCCGAACCAGTCCAAACTGGTAGGAACCCACCTTTGCTACATACCATTCAAAAGGGACAACCAACAAGTCAAAATGGGTATAAAAAGACCAAAGGACCTCACCACCAGCAATCAACACCTGGATGGACATAGATTAACCCCAAGATTAAGACCAGGCCCACAATCAAGAAGTAAAACAATATCCCGATAATTTGCTTTCAGAAATCTTGGTTAATTGTGGTTCTGAACGCTTACACTTACATAACAGACTCAGGTTTAAAGATATCAAAATCCAAAATCCTCACCGAGATCCAGACAGCTCTGGCTACTTCAAGACTTTGAGATACACTACAAATTGAAACAAAAAGCACCGAAACAAAGTAAAATTATCTGAATATTTTGGTTTCCTTGGGAAATAAACCAGGATTAGATAGGGTGAGTCCTCGACTTGGAACAGCTCATCCAGTGACCATTCGAAGTTATAACGGCAATGACAAAAAGTGACTTTTCACACTTTTGCATCCCCATAGTCACGTGATCAAAATTCAGACCCTTGGCAACTTTATGATGGTAGCAGTGTCCCCGGGAGTTTCTGTCATAACTGTAATTTGAACTGGAGCAAATTTTAGGGCAGTTTTTAGGGAGGTTGTTAAACAAATCACAAGATTGCTAAGCAAAATGCAGCTTCCCCAATGGGCATTTCTTTGCCAGGAAATCAGTTAGAAATCTCAAGCATGTGGCCACACAGGAGTCTGCCACTCGTCATAAATAGGAGGCAATTGCCCAAATTGTGATCAAGTCACTATGGGGGAATAGTGCGAATAAAGTGGATATTATTTACCTCGGGTTGGTGGTTAGGCTGTTGGTTTGAACTCCGAGCTTGGCCGTTGGGTTGCAAACATTTCGTCACCATGCAAGGAGACATCGTCAAGTGTGTTTTGAGTTGACAGCTCAAAAATGCGCTGATGATGTCTCCTCAAATGGCAACAAAATGTTTGCAAATCAAATTGCCAAGTGGTAAATCATTTCTGAGAGCGTCGTAATTTTGAACAGCCATTAAATCAGTGTTTCTCAAACTTGGCCACTTGAAGATGTTTGGACTTCAACTCCCAGAATTCCCCAGCCAGCAAATGCTGGCTGGGGAAT